TATCTCCTGTGCATTACCTTGTTGAATCATTGCAGAGTAATATCAGCAGACATTGATCAAAAACGGCTAGATATGGCGAAGTCTTTAGGGGCAGATGTGATCACTAACACTCGCGAAAAGAACCTCAAAGATGTAAGATATGTCTCAGTTATCTCTAGTTGAGTTCAAGTTCAGAGAATATACAAATATATATCCTAGTAGTGTTACTGTGTATCATGTGTATACATGCATTTCTTACAAAAAGCCCCCAAAATTGTATTTGGTCACTTCTTACAACGAAGGAAAGCCCTTACAACCCAATCTGACACTTTAACAAAACTCACCGAGACATTACAGTGTATTGTCTTCTTGACAGTTTATCATGGAGTTTACAAATGGTGATGGAATTGGGAGGATCTGTGAGTGTAGTGGTGCTAGTACAATGGTGAATTCAACCTTCTCAATGTTACGAAAAGGTGGACAAATGACCTTCGTGGGACTTCCAAAGGAACCACTTCACGTGGAGAACGTATTGCAAGATGTTGGTGTGTATAAAAAGAGACCAACTGAACACCCTCTCTTTCAAATCAGTATGATATTTAGCCATATTACATAAAAAATCAGGTTTGTATGTGACTATAACTTAACTTTATCAAATCAGCGCTGTTGTTCTGACTAGTAGATTGTTTAGTTGTGTGATGCAATGGCTGGCAAATGATTCCGTCATTGTATGACTGATATTGTACATGACCTGTAATTGTTTTAAATACTTAGACAAACCATTCTATCCTCTGAATGACCTTTAACTCTGATTAAAATTTTTAGCAAACTTTCCTGGCCCTTCTAAGATCTAAAACCCTCTCTGAATGTCTAACATATTTTAAACTAAATGCTCTGCCTAGGACTAGAATAACGCTCTTTCATTGAATAACGGATATCACGTGCCTATCTTTAAATATTTCTTTGAACCGGTCACAGTAGCCCCGTGGTAGGACGTTCGATTCGTGTTTGATTCCCGTTCCTTCAACAAGCGCCCGGCACTAAAAGTGAAAGTCACAGGTGTTCGGTTAAAAACCAAGGTCCCGTGTCACAGTAGGCGTTGGCACGATAAAGAACTCACTACTCAATGGCCCTGAGTGCCGAGTAAAGGTCTAAATTTCAAGCCCTTCAGCGGTATATGGGGACAATTCTATGAGAGAAAAAAAATTTCGAATGGGACTTATCACGTTAAACCTTATACAATCAATCAACATTTCTTTCGATTCCTAAAAGTAAAATTTGGACGGTAACATGGAGGATTAAAAGATGTTATGTCATCAACCCGTCATATTTCTGTGGACAGGAACAAATCTAATAAGTAATAATAATGTATAATATACTAGAATTCTTATACTGCTAATAGCTCTATGTATAAAATTAAAACATGAAAAGTTTGTACTAGGCTCCAATATAGTTCGTGGCCAGAGTACCATTTGGTCAAGGTCATTTTTGTCCTCCATACAGATTTGTCACGCTCTATGACATATAGGCCTATGTATCTTTTTTCAGTGTTTAAGGCACTGACTCTAAAAACCATCCATGGCCGTCAGATTTATCACACCTGGGAAGAAACGGAGAGATTGGTTGCAGACGGCAAAATTGACGTCAAAAAGGTCATAACTAACAGGTTCCCGATGTCAAAATTCGAAGACGCCTTCAAAGCTCTGTTTGCGGGGAAGGACTGTAAGATTATACTGTATCCCTCACAGTGATCAGCAGCAAGGGAATATGTCCTGGATCAGCGAGAAATTGGAATACAAATAAACAGATATTTCGAAGACCAATTCAAACAATTACAATTCTTTACTTACAGTGATTTAAAGAGTAAAATGCTATATTGAGTAGTTTATTTTTAATTTTATATAAATTAATAAAATTAATAAAGTATATTAATTTATAATTATGTGTTTTGCTACTTATGAAAATTTGTAATTCTGTTGAAATGTACGATTTAAGTTTAACATACTGAACACAACCAAGTATATAGCTCTAAGGCTTATCATTTTATTTCTAGGCCATCATTAAAAATATCTTTGTTTCCCCTAACCCGACCCTAAAATTTCAAGTTGGGTAGGTAGGTAGGTAATTCTTTTTTTTTCTGACAGCAGTTTTGAAAATACATTCTGAAAAATTGAATACTAGTAATATCTTTAAAAATAAGAAAGAACAAAAGAAACCGATTTTTAAACCGAATATCATACAAATGAAATTTAAAAGCAACATGTATGATAAATTAATTCACAAATATTATTCATTTGAACTTGTGAAATATCTCAGGCCAGCGTATTTTATTAAAATCGAAAAGACAAGATTCGCAAATACTCAACCATTGGCCATCCGAGTAAATTTTCCAAACCTACTATCATCTTCGAGTGCTTACACAGACAAAATGTCAAGGGCCTCACGTTGCGCAGTAATTCAAGTGTTTCGTTTGTAGTCTTGACGTAATTCAGGAGCTTATTGTAAGTCACAGGTCCCAATGTGGGAAGTGGAGACTGGTCAGTCGAATGAGACCGTAAAAAAAGTAGGACCATGCAGTGTCGCAGTATACATGTAGATGTTGGCAAGATAAAAGATCTCTTACTGATGCTTTATAATCAATGGCCATAAGTGTCGAGAAAAAGTCTAAATTAGGAGCCCTCCACCAGGCAGATGTTGAAATGTTGTCGACCTAACAATTTAAAAAAGGTATTTTAAAGCAAAAATACAACCTATTTTCAAGGGGCTAACTAAAGAAAAATACACTGGACGTCTCAGAAAGAACCATTAGCCAATTTTAAAGATTTCAACACTATTTGAAAAAGAATGTACCTGTATAAACAATATTTAATTCAACCAAACCATATCTAAAATGATTAAAGTTTCATATATCTAATCTTATAGTCACGAAGTTTACCCCATAAATAAAAGGAAGGAAGAATTATATTTATCAAGATGAAATAATTATACAGAATTATCTGTTGGGGGAATGTATCCAATGATTTAGTGGAATAATATCCACTGATCTGTTTGAATAATATTTATTAATCTGTTGGAATAATGTCTCAACAGAATTGCTAGAGCAATGTACATACTGTACTATTGATAAATGTATCCAATGACTGAATGGAATAATATTCACTGATCTGTTGGAATAATATCCACTGTTCTGTTGAAAAGTTGTTTCTTCTGATCTGTTGGTATTTTGTATCCACTGGAACAATGAACCCACTGTTCTGTTAAATAATATTCACTGTTCTGTTTGAAAAGTGTTTCCAATGACCTGTTGGTATTGTATATCCACTGATCTGTTGGAACAATGTATCCACTGATGATACATTGGAACAATAAAATCCACTCATCTATTGGTTCAATATATTCACTGAACTGTTGAAAAAATATCCACTGATCTCTTTAACCATTTCCACTGTCCTGATGAAATAATTTACCAGATAAACTGTTGGAACAATTTATCCAATGATCTGTTGTTTATAATATCAATTCATCTGTTGGAATAAAACCAACCGACCTGTTGAAACAATATCCCAATATCTGTAGAAACAATATATCCACTGTTGGAACAGTGTTTCTATTTATCTGTTGGAATAATGTATCAATTGATCTGTTGGAACAATGTATCCATTAATTTGTGAGAAGAATATCCGGTATTGATCTAATGGAACAATATCCACTTATCTGTTGGAACAATGTAAGCACTGATTTAGGGGAATAATATCCACTGTTGATATTTTTTTTAATCTGTTGGATTAATGTCTCCACTGTTTTGCTGGAACAATGTCTCCACTGATTTATTGAATATATCCACTGATTTTGTTTAAATTAAATACACTGATTTTTTAAACAGTACTTATTGATCTGTTGGAGTAATATGATATCCACTGATGTGTTGGAACTATTTCCACTGATCTATTGGAACAATATCCACTGATGTTAGAACAGTGTATCCACTGATCTGTTGGAACAAATTCCACTGATTTGGATCAATATCTATACTGATTCGATTGAACATTATGATCCACTGATTTGTTGGAACGATGTAGAAACTGATGTGTTTGAAGATTTGTAATGAATTGACGTTTTACTAGTGATCATGAATTCTCTCCAAATCTAACCCTATGAAAGAATGCTTGAAACAAAATACGTTAGGGAGTTTTTCTAAATTTATATGATGGTATTTACGACTTTAGAAGAATACCGGCTTTGTAGCCGTGGATAATTGAAATTTGGATGAAAACGCAATGTGACTTCGGATCTCTTTTACACCACTCCTTTCTTTTGATACTGTAACCGAAATTCGTCTGATAATACATTAATTAGATTTCATCCTGTTATGTACGTCACCAACTCCTATACTTACTAAGAAATTCACCTCTGTGTACCGTGTTCATGGCCAAGTTAACCTGGCCTTAGATCTTCCTACCTCTCCTCTGCCAAACTCAGCAACTAGATCTGATAATGTCAAACACTAGTGTATTTTACATGGTTTAAAAAGATGCTGCATATAGAAGAATAAACAATACACTTGTGATGGACAAGGAAAACACAATCTAAAACGAAACATCTGGCTCTGGGGGTCCCATGAACAGTACGCCTGAACTAACTTTAGCTGAAATATCAAATGTTTGCCAGTTTTCAGACTTTCAAAGTCTTAAAAATTCCCCTGAATTAATTTATAATTTCACATTGCATTTAGTTTATTTATTCCCGTTGTCTATAATTAAAAAATGCCTCATAAACATATATTCGGCTGACTGTACAGTGATAGTATCTTCTATAACTTAGAAGTGAATTAACCCCTTAAAATGACGTTTAAGCAGCCATCTGTATGGTCAACTGTATACGTATTCAGGAGCCTTAACCGTCAACTTACCTCAAATCAACATATACTTTAAAATACGTCACCTGCAGCTTGTCTACGCTTTGGTATCCCGATTTTGGAAGAGTGACTATATTAACAGTGCAACAGCAACATTTTCTGACACAGCGGTGTAGTCTAAACATCATATGTAAACGAAGGGTCATTTCAATGTGGAACGCTAATTAAACAGAAAGTAAATGCACTGCGATATGTGGGAGATTATAGTAATATCTGAAGGCGGACATTTAAACGCCCAAATTCGATCGTTTGATGCCAGAGACAGGGGGGTCGTGTCCTTGGTTGTATTTCCTGCGTGGAGAAAACTCCGATAACTTCCACCGGACTCGGTACAGAACGAAGGTACAAATGCCGGTGTGTGTTCACTAAACCATACCACATTGCGTTTGACAAGCCGCCGTGTTAGAGGGTTTCCTTAGATGAAGGATCTGAGTTCAGTATGTCGGGCAGAGAAAAGGATTATCATACACTGAGAAAAGAACTTCTCAGGACCAACTCTCTGTTTGTGGACGCCGACTTCCCCCCAGACAACAGCTCTCTGACCTTTGACAGGACCCCTCCCGCAGGACTCAGGACTGTCATATGGAAGCGCCCGACAGTAAGTTTACTAAAATTCCTCCACGTAATCTTCAAGAACTCTTAACTTTTTTTTTGTATTTTAATCCGTTCTGGTATTTAATTACATAAACATATTCTAACCTAAGAATTATAAATGGTGAAATCAGGAAACATGCCTCGACATTGGTTTGGAGTGCGTAATTTGTAAGAACGCGAGGCTAAAAGTATTTTCGTGTTTAGAGTCAATAACAGTTCACTTTGATTTACCTGTTTAACGCACAACAGCTGTTTCAATACTTAAAAACCCTGCATGGGAGTTTGTAATTATCTACCTCTCTATATCTACTACAACATTGTAAACAATCACCTTAGTTTCTCTGTTATTGTAGTCGTACAATCAACGAACAACCATTCATTCGCTAATGCCCTTGTTTATTGACATAAGAAGATTTGAAATCTCTAAATTAATGCATTTCAAAGTAAATCGTGTTTTAAGTTAAAAAATTGGCGAGAATTTCATTTCACGCATCATGTAATTGTGTATATAGGAAATCATCTTCCGTGAATTACATCGAATTAATATATACATGACAACCATGTACAGTTCATGATTTGTAGATTTTCCTCAACTGCTCATTTTTTTTGTAGGACTTGTCCCGAAACCCCAGATTTATAGTAAAGAATGCCACAAGATTCGACCTTGATCAAGGATACTTAGGTAATACTCAGAGAGGGAAGCTAATTAAATATGAAATATTAAAGGTGGACTAGCTTTGAAGCTATTCAATCGAACCATGAAACGCAATCCTTACAATGCAGAATTTCCATAATTCAGTCAATATACATATTTTAACTGGCTCGGAGCTGGCAATCCACAAGTATAATGTATATATATGTGGTAATAATACACAAAACCGGTATCTTATGTTTGTACATGGAATAATAAAAAACCTCATTTGTAATGTAAACACCTCTGTTATTCTGATGGTGATTAGGACAGCTGGTCCCTGCATCGCTGCGCACACCTGTTTCTGAAGGCTGTTTGACCACCGTCCGAGTGCCTCTTTCTGTTCATTTTTACAGGCAACTGTTGGTTCATCGCTGGAGCTGCTCTGGTAGCCACCAAAAAGAAACTACTTGAAAGGGTGGTGCCTCTAGACCAAGAGTTTGACAGAACATATGCAGGTCAACACATTATGTTTTTCTTATACGCCTAACAATTAACTATAACACTTTTAATTTCCGTTAACTTTATATGTCAACTGAGCTGCTGTCAGTTATAAATTTGATACGTTCCTATTGAATGTTACAGACGTCTCAATGTCCGCATTAGAAGTCTCCCTCATTGAGGTGACATCCTACATTATGTGGATGTCACAGCTATTGATTCTTAAGTTCATTATGTAATACGAGAACAGGACAATATATTCAATTTTACCACGTCCTAAAGATTGCTATACTAAGTATTTTCCTCATGAAATAAAAATTCAAAGGAAGAACCTACTTGTAAAAAAAAAATCTTTACTTGACTCTGGTGTTAAGTCGCATGTTATTATATTAATTAATTTACATGTATGTAACTGGATCGCTAAAGAACCTGCTGCCCAGCTTTCATGCGTTTTGAAGGCTTTGAAATGCAATAATATATGTTTTTGAAGACACGTTGGCAAAGTTGGGGTCTGAAATAACAATCTATTCCATCACCTTTGTTTTCAGAATTATTCATGTGGAAGTCTCAGTAAAATATAATGATCTATTGAGGTCTCTTAAGTCTCCCTAATAATAGGAGGCACTCGTATTTCCTTCACCTTTGACATATTTATGTTTTTTAAGTCACAAATAGTTGTTCAGGGTTTGTAAAATATGGATTTAGATGATGATGAATGAACGATGATCAAAAGCCATTAAGTGGGTGTAAGTTAAAAATGACATATTCTTATTTTTATATAAGTTTATTTTGTGGGTTTTAATAATTCTTTTATATTTATTATATTTTCGTGAATCGTATCCTATAAGGTACAAAAGCGAGGCATCGAAAAATACAATTATTCTATTTGTTTAATTCATGCATAATTCACGGAAGTAGGTCCTGTATATTTAGAAAAAAAGGCATTTCAAATTTAAAAAAGAGATGGTCAAATTTAAAAACATTCTTTCCTTAACAGAATTGAAACACTGAGAAAATTTAGTTTAGTGAAACCCTGAGTTGTTATATGAAACGAGTTACTTACTGCCCTGCAGATAAATTATACTTATTACTTATAGATGAATTAACTGTTGACCAGATTAATTCGTTGTTACTCAGTATAATTATTTGTTGCGAAGTATTACCATTAATGGCAATGTGCTTATTATCAAAAGATAACTTGGAAGTTCGATGTACATGTATATACATTTATCCAAGTTTAAGGCAATTCTGATTTATCTATTTATAACCTTACAATTGCTCAAATTAGCAATGGGTATATGCCTATTACTTGTCAGATGTATGAAATACTCTAAGTACAGTTCAAAAATATTTTTTAAATTTTTAATACAGGTAATAATTCATTTTTCTTTAATGATTACACTTACATAAGTTTTCCTTTTTTTGTTGTGACCTCCCTTTTTTTCCTGAAAATAGTTTCTGATGTGATTTTACTACATAAATTGTCATTTGGAAGCTGCTTAGCCCCCCCCCCCCATTTGGAACCCTCTTTGAAAAAAGTTGCTATGGGCCTGTCTATAATTGTAAAGATATTTGCTAGAATTGTTATTTGAATATCTCCGATGCAGTTTAAAGAAAATATATATTTTAGCAGCAGTTTTTGTGAACAGTTTAGTAAGCGGTACGTGACATTTAAAAGTAATCGACATCTTACAAAAAGCAACTAATAACTGAAATTAGTTTGCAATAAGTTTTTGTCAGATCACAATTGTCATATTTTCAAATAGCTTTTGTCAGATAGAGGTTATCATCTAGTAGAGAAATTGCTAAGCGGGTTAGTACATATATGCTAGAGGTTTCTATTGACAAGATTTTTTTAATGTAGGTATTTTCCATTTTAACTTTTGGTGGTACGGGAAGTGGGTGGAGGTGGTGATTGATGACTACCTGCCCACGGACGGCTACCGCCTGATATACGCCAGGAACAGGGAGGAACCGAACGAATTCTGGGCAGCATTGTTAGAAAAGGCGTACGCAAAGTAAGAATTATTGCTATCAGACATGCCTTATAATTTATTCACATTTATAACAGTAATATCTGGAACCGTTCCATATTTTACAACAGATTAAGGGGTTGTTACGAAGGCGTAGATGGAGGGAAACTTCAGGACAGTGTGGTCGACCTCACCGGAGGAATCTCGGAAACTGTGGACATTAAGGACAAGTCTCAGATCCCAGTGGATATCTATGAGATTTTGTGGCGATCCTGGAAGATGAACAGTTTTCTTGGCTGTAGTATATCGGTTGGTTAAGTACTTTAAATGAAAGAATGTTGGTATATTTTGAGGGTTATTCAGCCATATTCAATTACATATCAAAGATGAAGTAATTTGTTATGGGAAGCATAAATTCAAGTCACTCTGTCATAAAACCTTGTTAGATTATATAATGTAAAAAATTGGTATAAAAGTCAACAAGTTATACTGATGGTAAATTAAGCACATATATAAAACTCAAACAAAATTGGGGTTATGAGAATTATAATATTCATCAGTAGTTAAAAATTTTCATCACAGAAAATCTCTATGTAAATTAAGAATTTCTTGTCAAAGATTGTAAATTGAAGTGGGAAGATTTACCAACATCCCTCGAGAAGATCAGTTATGTAATAGATGCAATTCTAACAGTGTAGATGATGAAACTCCAATTTTTGATAAGATGTAAAAATATGATCATCAAAGAAAAGAAATTTTTCAGTCAATTAATTAAAAGTAAATTTCCAAATTTATCGGCGTTAGATGATGAACAAAAACTTTTTTGGTCACCCAATACTGAAGACAAAGAAATGGGCAAATTCATAAATGATAACATGTTGTAGTAGCCATACACTTTTATATGTAGTATTCCTTTTAACTGAAATAGTACAATATTATTGTTGAAATGAGCAATGTCATTTACAAATTGTTATTCTATTTGGCATATCTTTTCCTTATTATTGTAATAATTTCATGCTTGTCTGTTATGGGCTCTAAATTAGGAAATAAATGTTCTATTCTGTTCATTATTTCCGAAGTATCTGATTACCACTATTCAATTGAACACAGTCCACAAAGACATGAATAAATAAATTTTTAAGATAAACATAAAAAATTTTGTTACAAATTTCTTTTTTAGCTACCTCCAAATGTAAGTTCATCATCTAGGGAAGTACGGCGGCCAAACGGATTGTACATGGGCCACGCATACAGCATCACCGCCCTAGCTGTGGTAAACAAAAAAATCTTTTGCATCGAAGATTTAAGAAAGACAAGAAGATTAACTTTATTACTTTTTGTAAACGTGCACATGTAAACCATTACTTTTTTCAGATCCCCTACAAGGGGTCGAGCGTTCGTCTTTGTAGACTTCGGAATCCATGGGGACGGAGCGAGTGGAATGGTGATTGGTCAGACGAGTAAGTATCGTCTGCTTCCAACGTTTCTTGCAACTAGTCATCAACTTTCCTCAAATATACGGTAAATGAATCTTCTCATTCATTTGCAGGTCTTATCAAATCCGAAACTTGTCATCGGAAGCGAAACAAAGACTTGGGATCGTTATACAGGATGACGGTGAATTCTGGTAATGATACCTCTGTGTATCTCATCATTTTTATCAATTAATAGAGTCTATTTTTTAACTGATTTTTATGCGTGATTTTATATGAGTACGTTTATAGAATTAAAAAGTAATTTAATCTTTTCTGGATTTTATTTCAACTTTTCTAAACATTTTTCCCACAGGATACCGATTGACGATGTGTTGGTTAATTTCGAGGAAATACAACTCATTCACCTTCAGCCAGACGCCACAACACAGGGGGTGGCTGTAAACGAGGTGAGGGCATGGGATTAGAATCACCTCCTATCTGTATAAGCATATAAAACACGATTTTGAAAAAAACACTGCTTGTTAATATAATAATTGAAAAAAACAAAACAAAACAAAACAACATGTCTGTGAGATGGACTATACAGTATGTTCTTATAGCTGACTTTTTTTGAAACTCTTTTAGTGACTTTCATTAATTATGATCTACATATAGCAAATAAAAATATGTTTGTGGCTTTTGTAAAGCCACAAACACATTTTTTAGCGAAAAAAGGAAGCATCAGAAAAATACTTAATTTTCAATTTAATATAAAAAAACGACTGAGAAAGAGCGTCAGGTAATGTTTAGAAAAAAAAAATACTGGGTGGTGATATCAACAGATCGTCTTTAAACTCAGTTAAACATACTTTGACATTCGATAGCATTGTAGAGCACATTGTTAAAAGTTTAGTTTGTAGAGATAGAGGAATTTCGTTCAATGAAAATCAACATGCAGGCCTACGTTATCTGCGATCTAGATTGTGAATTACAGGTTTTAAAAGATGGTACAAAAAGTTGATCGTCTATGACGACATCCTAGCGTTTACCGCTGTGATCTCGGAACAAATTACCATTTAATTTCCAGACAGATTGACACATCAACAGAAATTTGAGGTTGATAACAATTGGAATGACAAACTAGACAAATAAAAGAAAAACTGTCGGTGTATAGATATGTCACATACGTCTAGTTAAGGGAATATTAAAGTTTTGTTGGAAAAAAGTAACTGTAATTGAAAAAGTCTAACATGTATTATATGCTTTCAGGGTAAACGTCAGTGGAACGTGACGGTTTACCATGACCAGTGGATTAAGGGCGTCACGGCTGGGGGATGTGGAAATGCGCCATACCAAGGTTACAGCAGAATTTCATGTTCATTAATTTATGTCGTATTGCTGTTCAATTATATTGGAGTAGATACGACATGTAGATAGTAAACATTAAATTAAATTTAAAGGAAATATAATCCCAGATATCGTCTAAAAGGACATAAATTTGTTGTAAATTTAGACTTGTACTGGAAGAACCCCCAGTTTTCCGTGACTTTACGAGATGTTGATGACACAGACAACAAGCCAACATGTACTGTCATCATCAGCTTAATAGAAAAGGAGCAAAACAACAAGTCCAAAATAGCCATCGGCTTCGACGTTTACAAGGTGAGGATCCCAATAGAACAAAATAAAAAGAATTGAATGAAAAACTACACATTAACGTTGGCCATTCTTAAGTTTTATTTTTCTCTGTTCCCTCCACAATTAAACAATAATTCACACAAGGATAAACAAATCAACTTAGGCCATGGTAAATAATATCTGTTTTATGTCCCTTGATTCTTTGAAAAGGTACCCTCCAGTCCGAATAAAAAAACACATTCCAAAAAAAAGGTGCTTTCACAAAGTATCCTTAATACTCAAGAAAAATAGAAATTTTGTTGTGTATTAATGAAAAATACGAAAACTGTAATCCAGAAAATTCAGAGTAGAAATGCGAGAAAGCAAAACCAACTCACCGGTATTGTCAGTCCGTGCTCAGTGATTTGTGCAGACTATACAAATTGAACACACCCAGTAAAACGTAAACACTAACAATAACAGAGCTCGTGCCCTGTTGTTTGACGTGATGTTATGAAGAATGTCGTTGTTTTTGAATTCTCAGAATATTCATGTAAGTTCAAAATCATTAAATTGAAGTTATTTTTTGAATAAAAATAGACATTTAAAATTGTAAACATTGCAACTGTGTTCAGTCCCCTTTAAGTTTCTTCAAAAGAGAAAAACCAAAGATCGCCGGAATCTAATATCTACGAAAGCCTATTAGGTTCAAACTACGGTAAAAAAAAATTTAAAAGGCGTTGATACGCGAAAGAAGGCGTAATAACGCCTTTTGAAAAGGCGTTATAACGCGGAAAAAGGCGTAATAACGCAAATAAAGGCATAATTATGCCTTTCTAAAAGGCGTTATAACGCGAAAAAAGGCGTAATTACGCCTTTCCAAAAGGCGTTATTACGCCTTTCCAAAAGGCGTTATTACGCCTCATATTTTTCAATACATGACTTACATACACCCGTGGGGCTGATTATTATTAGATTCCCAGGAAAAAAAGATTTTTTAATGTGTTAAATATTTTCAGTGTTAAACCAACTTAGTCCTTCTCTGATGCCAGACACCTCTACCAAGATGCATGGATTTCAGAAATTTGGTTGAAGGCTAATTGCTCATTATACCTATGCAAATAGTTTGCCTGTTTTTTTCAAGAGGAGAGAAAAATATTTCAAATTTGACATGAATTTTTAATACATGGCTAGCAAAGCCCAAAGCTGGCTCTGCCTATATCCTGGATTTTCAAAAGTAGAGTGTTGACTTCGCTTAATACGCATGCAAACAGCTGTCTGCGAGATGTGCGGGGATATAGAAAATGCTATAATTTATAAAATTAAAACTATAATCTAAATATTGCATAAATAAAGATGGCTTTGGTTCAATCTTTCATATATATATATTTTAAAAGAACGCCTTTCCCTTTTTGGATATAACTCCTTTTCAAACAGGCCGGTAGTACGAATGCGAGTTGGGGGGGGGGGGGGGACCTCACTTTTTGGGAGAATAGTCTTGCTATAGTTTAAGTATAAAAAATCATTTATTGATTGCTTGGTCCCTTTTGGAAAGGCGTGATAACGCCTTTTGGAAAGGCACGCCTTTATTTGCGTTATTACGCCTTTTTTCGCGTTATAACGCCTTTAAATTATTTTTTTTTACCGTAGTTTGATCCTAATAGGCTTTCGTAGATATCAAATTGAACCTTGCATGTTACTTGTCATATATTGAAATAAGTAGATTTTTTTCTACCATTTACTCATAAAATAAAAACGCTGAAGGAGGGGGGTGGTGAATGTAAATGGAGGAAAGGAAATATATGAGACTCTATCTATAGCAAGTGGAAATGAACATAGAATGAGGCCGATAGTGCTGATTGAACTGTACGTTAACTAGTAATATTCAAAACGTACTAGACATAAAAATATCTAAATGAAGAAACTAAAATGATTTTTTAAAAATATCCCATTTATAAAAGGTCCAACCCTTGGGTTGCCTGTTATTATAAAACCTTATCTACCTATTTTTTCTCAAAAAATATGAAACAAAAACTGCATGTATGTATAGTCCAATAAGCATTATTTAGAGGATTTGATTCCATTATTGCATTTTTCTTTTAAAAAGATAATGTAAAATCAAGGAACTGTACACAAAATATACACTATATAGCAAAAGTCAACACATTCTCAACAACAAAAAACCAAATATATTATTGGAAAATATCAATTTCTTTAACTATTGAATTTATGTTTTTATTTTTTGTTTAATTTTTTGATTGTTTCCTTGTTGTTTCTTTCTTTATTGAATTTAAGTTTTGCTTTGTTTCCGTTTTTTTCCCCCTGATTTGGGATGTGCTTGTTATATTCCTAATATAAATAATCGAACAGTTAATAAGGGTGTCCTAGCATTATAAGTTGTTCTGAATAGATTGCTAGTATTTTGGAAGTTACTATTATTGAACTGTAATTGAACTCTACTTAATATGTTGGTAGTGTAATACTGCACTTTTTATTGTAAAAACACACAATTATTATTCATTTAGAATTTAATTTAGCTAAGTTGTTTTTAAGATGTTTCTCTATTACTTTGCAGTTGAAGTATCCTCAGAGTCAGCCATTAGATGGGGAGACAGCCCCCAGAAACGCCCTCATTCTAAAGAAAAGATCAGGGGTCTATCAATATAACCGGGAGATCACCCGGAGGTTTGACCTGACCCCAGGGACATATGTCGTCATTCCAAGTACGTTTAGGCCTCACGAGGAGGCGGAGTTTATGCTCAGGATTTACACAGAGAAAATAATTAGTAGTCTGTAAGTATACTAAGAGTACATTACCTTGTCAGAGAAAAAAAAATCTGAAAATAAAATGTACATTTAGATTGAAGTGAAAAGTATGTATTTATGAGAAAAATTGAGGCTATACAGAAAACCTCTGCCAAGACACTTTAGATAGGAAAACTTGTTGTAGGAACTATTTTTCTAGCAAAGCTTTTTTATTTGATAATGTCACATGATGACTACCTGGGAACTTTTAACATTCGCGAGTGTCTGTCGTGAAATTCGTTAATATTTCTACACGCGAATAAGAGCTGGAATGGCATTGCATACAAAATTCCGGATTTATGCTGTGATAAAATTTGTGATTCAGATGAATAAATTTCCTCGTAGATTTTATTCATTACGAATTCCTTCCTGTAGAATCTTGTTAATTGATTACAGAATGCGCTCGCTAATTAACTAATAAATATTTCTTGCCTATATTGCAGTGTGTTAGATGAACGCAACGGCGAAGTTAAGGTATGTTAGTTATTACGCGATCGAGGTTTGATTACATTACTAGTGTTTAAGTGTTTTAAGTTTTATTTTGAAATACAAATCATGCTAGTTTTCTCACAAAAAAAAACTGATAATAAACTTAGTAATCTCTTTCAAATAAATCGGAGGTTGGTTATACATTTATTCATTCGATACTAGACGAGGCTTTCTTCACAAATTCAATTAAATTGCATTATTTTGCATTTATTGTAATTGAAATTGCCACTTGTTTCGAGGAAAAAAACAACTTTAAAAAACCCAGAGGATGACTAAACAGCATTAAATCTTAATGTTTGTAATTGAATACCTTACGCAATACCTATAAGAAATTCCATTCTGATTTTAAAGCCAGAAGCCAAACCTCCGCCAGTAAGGGACGCCTTTCGTGAGTTATTTCTAAAACACGCTGGTGAGGATGGAAAACTGAAAGCTAAGGAGCTGAAGGAATTTATTTTAGAACTATCAAGATCAGGTAGATCAATCAACAAAATCGCACTTTTAGTTTTTTTCCCTTTGTTCCGAATGAGTTTTATCTACAAATTGTTAGAGAGAAAAGAGTTGTTTTTTTTTATTTTACAGAAATAAATGAGCCTTTAAAATTCAGCACAGAAACCTGCAGAAGCCTTATCACAATGATGGATGTATCTTTTTTAAACTTAAAAAGCAGAATGCGTCCTGCATGCTTAGTAATTAACACCAGATGTGAAAGCATCGTGAAAATTTGAGTAAATTGTTTACGTGTTGTTGACTTTGTGTAAGATGTAGAAGCATGCCATATTGTGTTGTTATGTTAGCTTAACTGAACAAAGCGGAATAAATCTGGCGCAATGAGCTATGAGGATTCAGTCAAGATGTGGAAAGAAGTTAAAGGCTATAGAGTATGTATGTTAGTAAAGTTACCTATATGTAAGATAAAGACTATAGAATATAGAGTACGTATGTTAGTTTATTAATGGCGAAGTAAGATAAAAGCTATAGAGTACGTAAGTTAGCTAGTTACAGGAACGTAAGATAAAGGCTATAGAGTATGTATGTTAGCTAGTTACAGGGAAGTAAGATAAAGGTTTTAGAGTACGCATGTTAGCTAGTTACAGGGACGTAAGATAAAGGCTATAGAGTATGTATGTTAGCTAGTTACAGAGACGTAAGATAAAGGCTATAGAGTACGTAAGTTAGCTAGTTACAAGAACGTAAGATATAGGCTATAGAGTACGTATGATAGCTAATTACAGGGACGTAAGATAAAGACTAAAGTGTACATATGTTATCTAGTTACAGGGATGTAAGCAAAGGCGGATCCAGCGCCACCCCACCCCACCCCCTCCCATTGTAATTTTTTTGAAGTTTTGTTTGTATAACAAGCATTTACCTTCAGTTTAGTACAAAAATTGATAAAATGATACTATTGCCCCCCTCCTCCCCCGTTATGAAATTCCTGGATCCGCCACTGGTAAGATAAAGGCTATAGAGTACGTAAGTTAGCTGTAGTTACAGGGACGTAAGAAAAAGACTTGGTTACAGGGACATAAGATGAAGGCTATGGAGTACGTATATTAGCTAGTTACAGGGACATAAGATGAAGGCTATAGAGGATGTTTCATAGCTAGATACACATGTACGTATACTTTAGTACAAAGACACTTTTACATAACTACATGTATTAATTAAGTGAAATATACTAGTTTACACGGAACTTACTACATTACAAATATTTATATATCTATGTAAATGCGAATGTTAGTATTTAGTAAGCAAGGTTGTACATATACATGTATACTAGTGTTTGTACTGACCCCCTTCCCCCACCTTTTCTCCCTTATAAAAAAAAAGTTTGGTAGAATTTTATACATTTCGCATGTCTTTGTTGCGTGAATGTCTGGTCACAGTTTACTGTTTAGAACTGAACCAAACCTAACCACTGTCTAGCGAACTAGTCTTAATTATTTCCAAGTTATTGAATGCTAACATATGGTATCCCTTTTCGTGAATGACTGAACAAATCAGTGTTGTATACACAACAGGTGTGCCATATACATGTAAATACTTACACAGAGCGTGTAGACTTTAGAATATAGTAATAGATTGACTGATTTTAATCAAAATTGTCTTCCCGTTTAACACTTGACTTCAGTTTTTAAAAAGTCATCCAGAACGGGGAGAATTTCGAAAGCTGACACTTATAACGCCTGGAGAACGATTTTAAGCGGGAAGGTACTATGAAATGCAGTCTGTTGTTTTTCAATTTCATTAATTGCTGCTCATGGAGAGATTTAAGAGAAAACCCCAGATATTATCTATGTCGAAATTCAATAATTTGGCATGTACAGTTGCATAAATGTGATCGCCCGTAATATAAATATACTTCCATATTCTGAAATGCCAATTATAACCCCTTATATTTTACTAAAACTGATCAAATTTATTTGATCATTGATGTGAGTGTAACGACGAATTTATTTGATTATTATTTAAAACTATTGACCTCTTCCATTTCTTTAGTCACAGTCTGAATTCTGTCTTTTATACATGTACTATGAATTATCTGTCTTTTATACATATATTATGCTGCGGAAACCATTATATATCCATTTACTAGAATATTTGTTTCAAAACTTGACGCATTCAGTAATACACATGTATTACAATTGTTGCAGTCCGTTTTCTGTATACATGTATTTATTAAATATCTTACTTTGCTTATATAAGTCCGTTTTTCATAAATCCCTATCTCTTGATAAATATCAGCTTTGTTTAAGGAACTTTTTTAACAAACCTGTGCACTCCCTCGTGTGAGCCCAATTTCAATAGATATATTAGTTATATACATGAAATATGGACGAACAGTAATCGCTCAAAAGTCCATTGAAACAATACAAATCGGGAGCAGAGCAAACACGGACCTCTAAAATCATCAGAGGTGGGATCAGGTTCCATGGAGGAATAAGCACCCCCTGTCGACCGGTCACACCCGCCGTGTGCTCCTTTGTCATGATCGGGCAAACGGCAAAATCCGTAGACAATTCAGTGTATAAATAATGGTCTAACAATTAGTATGAAAAATTTCAGCATTCAACTTAATGATAGATTGTATTTGCTGACAAGGTCATTGTATCGACCATACAACTTGCGAAATGTTGTCTTCAAGCGAGACTTTGTTTTACCAATTCTAAATAGTCGTCTTAATTGGGAGGAATAAAAGAACCGCAGAAATATATATAATTTTATATTGCATCAGTAATGGCCAATTCCTATAATGTACTACGAGAATAATTCCATTCACTCTGTCACCTTTTTCTGGTTTTGCTGAATCTACCCATTATTATATTTACAGGTCATATCCTACAAGAGCGTATTTCCTTTATCATCTTGTCTATAAACATGTCCACTTTGTTAGCTCTACTGGTCAGAGACCAGAAGAGCTTATGCGATAGTAAGGTGTCCGTCCGTCTGTCTGTCTGTCTGTCTGTCTGTCCGTCTGTCTGTAAACAATTTTTCAAAACGCTACTCCTCCTACAGTTTTGGTCCGATTTCAATATAACTTGGCACACAAGTAGACTACACTAAGATACATAATTTAGTGCATCGGTTTTTGATTTCGATGGACGGTGTTGCCATGGTTACTAAAAATAGAAATTTCTGTGAAATTCCTTTAAAACGCTACTCCTCCTACAGTTTTGGTCCGATTTCAATATAACTTGGCACACAAGTAGACTACACTAAGATACATAATTTAGTGCATCGGTTTTTGATTTCGATGGACGGTGTTGCCATGGTTACTAAAAATAGAAATTTCTGTGAAATTCCTTTAAAACGCTACTCCTCCTACAGTTTTGGTCCGATTTCAATATAACTTGGCACACAAGTAGACTACACTAAGATACATAATTTAGTGCATCGGTTTTTGATTTCGATGGACGGTGTTGCCATGGTTACTAAAAATAGAAATTTCTGTGAAATTCCTTTAAAACGCTACTCCTCCTACAGTTTTGGTCCGATTTCAATATAACTTGGCACACAAGTAGACTACACTAAGATACATAATTTAGTGCATCGGTTTTTGATTTCGATGGACGGTGTTGCCATGGTTACTAAAAATAGAAATTTCTGTGAAATTTCTTTAAAACGCTACTCCTCCTACAGTTTTGGTCCGATTTCAATATAACTTGGCACACAAGTAGACTACACTAAGATACATAATTTAGTGCATCGGTTTTTGATTTCGATGGACGGTGTTGCCATGGTTACTAAAAATAGAAATTTCTGTGAAATTCCTTTAAAACACTACTCCTGCTACAGTTTTAGTCTGCTTCTAATATAATTAGGCATACAAGAAGACTATACTAAGATACATAATTTATTGCATTGGTTTTTGAATTCGATGAACAGTGTTGCCATGGTTACTTAAAATAGAAATTTCTGTGAAATTCCTTTAAAATGTTACTCCTCCTACAATTTTGGTCTGATTTCAATCTAATTTGGCACACAGTTAGGATACACTATGATACATAATATGTATTTCTGTTTTTTTTTTATTTGGGTGAGTGGTGTTGTCATGGTTACCGGTACTAAAAATAGAAATTTCCATGAAATACTTTCAAAACGCTACTACTCCTAGTTTTCATTTGATTTCAATATAACTTGTCACAAAAGTAGACTACATTAAGATACATAATTCTATTTATTGTTGCATGTTGCAATGTTTCAAATCCAAGTGCTACTTTTCTTTTGTTATACAAACAGACCAGTAGAGCTACAGTCTCATCAGAGACTTCTGGTTTTCCAATAAGAATTTGCTTGCACTCTGTTTTATACAAGTTTGTTTTATTCTGTTGTGATTGCAGGCTGTTTTCCAACAGTTTGACATAGATGGATCGGGGACGGTGGATACGTATGAACTAGACAAACTATTTAGCACATTAGGTAACAAATATGAAAACTACTCTTATTTTCAAAATCAATACTAATTATTTTAAACCATCAGACAACATCAATCTTTTCCTCCTACTAAAATGTCCCTCATCTGACAGATAAGTTTCTTGGCTTCACGTGTTAAGCTCCCTCTCTAGGTTTCCCTGTGAATAGAATGGTACAAACAGCAATAGTCAGACGGTACGCCGACAGAAACAACAAGATCCGCCTCACAGACTTCATCATAGTCATCTGTAAATTAACCCTCATGTATCGTAAGTATCAAATCTCATTTTTTCCCTTTTTAAAAAAAAAATTGATAGCATTTCTATAGAATTGCGCTAGAACATTTCAAGGCTAATATACCGGGTATATTTTAACAATTTGAATTTTAAGATATCATAAGAGCTAGTTTAGTGTTAAATTTATAGTAGCTTATCTATTAGCATTATTATAAAGGACGAAACAAGTACAAAATGAAGTAAAACGATTTTTTTCTTCTTCAGAAATATACAAGGATCAGCAAATTAAAACAGGCAGCCCTGATTCTGCTTCTTTCACTATGAACGAGGTACGTAGTATAATAACTCGAACACGGTGCAGAAAAGTGGGTCACATTCATCTTATACTGTATATAAGTTCTACCCTACTGTCTTTGCAGTTCCTTTATTATACAATGTACTGCTGAGCCTTGTTCAACATGGCGGATATGACAGACGTGCCAACCTGTGTTCACATTATTTTCCATTTCCCTGGAAAGAACTACATTAAATTATACATGTATCTACTTGTAGTCCCTTAGGAGAAAGTCTAATACGTGATGCAATATTTCAGTACTACCTGAGAGGCAAACTTTTTTGTTATATATTTTTATACATATTTGCATTGTGTTTTAATAAAGAGTTTAATTTGTAATTTACTTCATTTTTTATCATAAAAAAGGTACACTTGGGGTCTGTTCTTCTTCAAATCAAGATGTTCTTATAAAACGTCAGAACTGTTTTACTGCAAATAAACACAGGTACTTGTCGACATGACAACCCCCCCCCCCCGGGGGGGGTCAAAAAATATTTTTATGTCTTTTTTTCATAAATTATTCTTCTAGTACACATTTACAATGTATTCCATAAGAAAAATCCAAAAAATAACGCAGAATTAACGTCTTACTAAAAAAAATCATACCCTCGGTATTATAAGACAGAGTCTTGTAGCATTTTTTTACGTTTGACGATGAATACTCGGATTATTATGGAATGCCTGGCCAATAGCACGATTAAAGACAAAAATATCTACCGTAACAAGATATCATGACACATTTTGGTGACATGTATTAGGTAAATGATATTTCGGGCCTGATATCCAAGAGGGGTCCAGTGTAAACAAATGTTACCTTCTCTATTTTATAATACCCAGGGTATGATTTTTTAGTAAAACGTTAATTCTGCGTTATTTTTTTTTTTTTTTTGGATTTTTCTTATGGAATATATTGTAAATGTGTACTAATAAAGTTTGATATAGCATATAATACTAAATGGTCGACATATTTCCATTAGAATGAGCGATTTTCATAGATTTTTTCGATTCATGGTAACATGAAATTTATATTTCATAAAAAGACTCAAGCATGACAATCTTATTGAAATCTTCAAGAGAAATAATCATCACTATTCGTAGTTGTCCATTCTATATAAATTCTCAAAATTGCTAGAAATATCCAAACTCATCTGTATTTTTTTCAGATTTTAGTCATGTGACCCAAGCTATTAGTTTGTAATTCAGGCCTAACCTGGAAGCCACTAGTCAATGCTAGAATGTCTCCCAGACTGGTTATCCCTACAACATGAAGTAATATGATACTTCTGTAGGCAAATACCGATCACGGAAGCCTAGTGGTAGGGCGCTCGCTTCGTGATCGGGAGGCCCGGGTTCGATTCTCGTTCGCCGCGCCGCGTTAAACCTAGGACTTAAACATAGGTAGTGACTGTTCCTTCGCCAAGCGCCCGACACTAGAAGGGTTTTTTGGATGAGACCTTAAAAACCGAGATCCTGTGTCACGGGAGGCGTTGGCACGATAAAGAACCCTCACTGCTAATGGCCCTAAGTGCCGAGTATAGGTCTAAATTTGAAGCCCTTCACTGGCATACGATGACGTCTCTATATGAATGAAAAATTCTCGAATGGGACGTTAAACAGCATACAATCAATCAATCTGTAGGCATATGGTGTGTATTAGACTTGTACCATGGTTTTATATAAAAATTGCTGTATGGATGTAGCAGTATGTACATGTACATGTCAGTCTTAAAATGTGGAGATGTTGGGGTCGTGATGTTGTGTTAATTTTTGTTAGTTTATTTGAGTGGCCCTTTTTGTTTCACTTAGCTGAGTAAAAGGACCATATGTTTTTGTGTTAAAATCTCATGACTGGTAGACATTCATACTAATACATGCACATACAATTGTATCATTGTAGGTTCTAGTAAATGCTCTACAAAACCTCTTTCTTTACTCCTTACGAAAATAATAATAGCACTTCAGGAGTACTGTACAACACAGAGAATTTTTTCCGGGGGGAGAGGGAGGATGTCCACATCAACAGTAACAAACGTTAAACTCGGATTTCTTTTTTTATTTTTGACAAGCACGAAAAAAAATAAACAAAATGAAACAAATAAAAAAGTAATAATTATGATAATAGTAATAACTTAACAACTTGTCCAAACCTGAAAATCCTATTTCTATTTCGATGGGGGGTGGAGGAGACGACGGTTTCCAAAGTCAATTTTCCTCTGAAAGATGACTCTTCGGGGTCCGTGTTTCATCGGAGGGTCCAAGGTGAATTTTTTTTCCCGTTACTTTTACATAGAAATTAGATTACTGTGAAAATTCAAAGTAGGGGCGGGGTATGGAAGCCAGCAAAAGATACATTTATAACCAAAAAATTATAGAGGTAAAACATTTATTGACTATGTTCTCGGGCAAAATGCGTTTTGTTGACCCCTCGAACCAAACTGTTTGCCTTCGGCCTAACGGCCTCAGGCAAAGAAACAGTTTGGTTCTTGGAACCAAAAAACGCATGTTGCCCTCGAACCCAGTCAATGAATGTATAATGTTGTCTTTAGTTTGTTCGTTAGTGTTCGTTAGTGTTCGTTAATTCGTGAAATAAAAACTATGCTTAATGTTTGCAATTTTCTGTGTTCTAGGTTGAAATACGAGAACAGTAATTTTTGACGAATGCCGCTTGCTAAAACGTATTTATTTCTTAAGATACAATCATAATTTTTACACATATAGTCAGGAGTTTAGATATCATTTTGTCTACCAAATACATAATAAACTTGATTTTCTAGAATAGTGAGAGTTAAAGACTGACCGCACAAATGCACTTTTCCTCTTCTTTTTTTTTTATCCTGATCGACGTAAAGAGCACTCAGAAGTCTCCAAGAATATATTTGTTGGTTCAACATCTTTCGATATTGTGACGCCACCTCTTGCCGGTGGAGGACTGCAAAAGACCTGTACTCGGCACATATATCAGCACCTACTGCTACACGGGACCTTGGTATATACATATCCGCGTCACACAATGTATTCGAACCCTCGACGTAAGGGTCAACTCCTTATTCTGCGAATCTTAGAGCAAACGCTCTAACCCATGCGGGCGACCCCAAGAATATGGAAAGAAAACTACCGCGCCTGCTCAACCAAATAACTGTCCTATTAATCATTTTAATTAAGCATCTAAAGTCACACAAAAGAAAAGAAGTATAGATTCATTTTTTAAAGAAGTCTTCCACCTCGTGATATTGCAGTGATCGAGACTGGAGGCAGAGACCCGAGACAGATTTTTTTTTCCAGGTCGGTCGCTAAGGGGGGTTAAAAATTGAATGAAAAAATAAACAAACATGAAATTCGCTTCAGGCAGGTATAGCACACATGCTATAACATAAGTTTTCCCCCCTGGAATATGAATGTCTGTGAATATTACATACTGATATTTATATGCTCATGAACACAACATATGACGACATAAAAATTAGAATCGGAAGTGAATTAATCTCAGTAAACAAGTAAACAAAGCACCTGACCGGATGCTTTGTTTTTGGACATTTGCATATATATATGAGAAAAATAGTCTCTGTGAACACAACACCAGTTGACCATCACCAACCATTAACATTTTTTAACAATGGATAAAAAGAAAGGCAAAAAAGACGCAGTGTGAGTTTCTGTCTCCCTTCATCGAATACGCAGTCAAATTATATATTTTTTAAAGAAGAACACCTATCGTGAGATTCACTTGATAGTTGCTCTACGATTATGGAGAACTTTTTTTTTAATCGGTCAATAGTAACTGATATTAATTTTAAATATATTTAGTATTCTAAATGCTGTAAATAATTCATTATATATTACAAAGAAGTTTTCTTCCCGCGTAATTATCCGTCTACCCAAACCGTCCCCTCGCGAAAATTATATTCTTGCATATATATTAATTTTGTATTTTAAAAAAATCATACACAACAAAAACCAATATTCGAGGAATCTTAGTCTTCTTTATTAATACCAAATTACTTTCCTTGGTGGCGGGAAAAATTGGTAATCTACAATATATTGAACGAATCGAACGCAAAACTTTTTGGACTGTCTTTCCTCACATGTTAATGATTTCAAAAAAAAAATACAGCCTCCGTAGGTTATTAGGATGTATTATTGTAAAATAATTCACGAAAATATAATTCACAAGGACTTATCTCGCTCTCAATTTTACTATAAATAAAACTTCAATTCTCTGTTATATCATATAATATCCATGTAATATAATATATATATATATATATATATATATATATATATATATATATATATATATATATATATATATATATATATATATATATATATATATCATTTTCATTTTCGACAGCCACAGCCAAAGTAGCGGTGGTTCAAACCACAGGTAAGATATTTGTTTCTCTTTATTTTCTCTTATACATTGTAAATGCAAACAATTGCTTTTTGTCAATAAAAATCAAATGAAATTTAATGGAATGATTTATTTCGGCGTTTTTTTCCAACGTTTACCTTAAAGAAAGACAGCATATTAGAAACTTTTTATATCCCTTGTTTGTATTGAGCCAAGGATGCAGCCTTAAGGCTAAAGACTCTCAATTATTATTATTATTATTATTATTATTTTGCTTGAGCAGAGATTGTTTAGATTTAATGCCTTTAATTAATAATATGTATATGTTTTGAATGCTGAAAATCACAAAGGAGAAATAAATTCGCAAACATAAATATATCTTACCACTTTGAATTATGTCCTAACAATTACAGTGGTGGCAGCCATCAAGGCGGTGGGTCTCACGGCAGTAGCTCTTCGCACGGGTGAGCTGTTACTTAATAATACATTCACTTTAGAAACGTACACATAAAAGTACTTAAAATACCTTTAAAAATTCCTTCTTTCCGAAGCACAAGAGGAATATTTTAAAGGTCTTTAATTAATTTTTTTTAATCAATTATTCAATTAAAGAATTGGTATTTGAAGAATACATTATGATATTTTATTATAACTTTAAACTGGTATCTTTAAAAAACAGAGGTCATGACCCTGTGCCACCATCTCCTTCTTCTAGGTAAGTTAAATAATATGAGTGAATTGATAACATACAAGCAGACAGTTTTACGAAAATTAAAAGAATGTACAAAGTACTAGTATTCTGTCACATTTTGCAAAGTTCTATGGTTATTGTGTACTTCTTCTTCTTCTTTTTTTTTTTTTTAAATATTTCATTGCATTAAATGTATTTTTGATGAAGAGAATGAACATGTAATTATTAATTTTTGCATGAAAATTAGAATTTCTTGTATATAAAATTGATACATTTACAGCCACGGAGGCGGAGGAGGCCATCACGGTCATATTACACCACCGCCATCACCTAAATAGTAAAATGTAAGTCGAAAGATATGACACAACTATCCCTACACAATTACAAGCAAGTTGTAATATCAAATACATATCAATAAAATATAGCCAATCAACCTATCTCATAAATAAACTGGCGAAACATTTCACATCATCGTCCCATAATCATATCATGTTGTAAATTTTGAAAGTAACAGGAATTTTCAATTTAATAAATAAAAAAAAATTGTTCATAATATTCATGTTAATGCTTATCTTTGTTGAATATTTGATCCGAAAACTCAGAATTTTGTGAATTTTAATGAAATATTTTCAAGTTATAGACATTTAAAAATTTGACAAAACTTATTTTTACAGTTACTGTTTGTATATTTCGGTGTGGTTGTTCTGCTTTTATTTATTATCAAATCATTTTTTTTTCAGTGTTTCGATTTGATGTATTCAACTTTAAAGAAGCTATAATATCCTGTACTACCAAGTCTTTGCAACTTATGTTAATCTTTTACAATGTAAATTAAAATTCAGTGTTCCATATAAATTCTGTAAATGCTCCGAAAAAATATTATAAATGTATGTCTTGTGATTCTAGTCTCAACATTATGCCTGAAATAAATGACACTTTTAAGTCTGATTTTATGCCGTTGTTGAAAATGCAGGACTAATTTATCCACGTCAGAAACATTGATCTTTGGTAAGTTTTTGCCATTAACACACTTTACAAATGGAAATCAGAGGAAAAGGTCAGAAGAATAGGAGGTCACAATGGCACTATGTACATGTAATAAAGATTTTGTGAAAGTCTCATTTAGTTTTATTCAGAATGGCAGTGTCGTTGTTTCGCCATGGGAGTCCCAAAATTTCTCTTCGATCAAAAACGTAAAATAGGGGGTGCATAATGGCATTACGAAATAAAGATTCTGTGAAAGTTTCATGGAATACAGTGGTATAAGAGGAGTTGTGGGTACGAGATGGCTACCCCGTAAGTGTTAAGAAAGTACAGAAGGAAGGACGTACAAGTACGGACGGAAGGATGGACATCCATCACTACATTCCCCTATTTTCCAAGCGGAGGGTATGTTAATGAACATTAACTTGTTTAACCCGAATTCACTCATAATCAAATGGTTACCGTTCTCCTTCAGGGTACACAAATTCATAATTCATTGAAATGAAATATGAAGATAGAGAACAGTGAAAAGCTCAAAAGTCCATACCGAACAATGCAAATTGGAAACGAAGCAATCATCAGAGGTGGGATTGGGTCCCATGGAGAAGTAAGCATCCCCTGTCGACAGATCATACCCGCCGTGTGCTTCGTAGACAAGCCTATCTTGCAGAGAATAGAGGATAATATACATATTATATACTAATAATATAATAGCTTTTATCTGATAACCAAATGAAGGAAGATCTAAACACTGCACAGTGCACACGAAAGAGTCCTACTGTGCAACAATGTTTTCGATAACAATTTCTAAAACGAGGTAAGTTATTGACAAACAAGTTGATGAAACAAGAATATCAGCAGCCTCGTTTAAAGTCATCATTTCGTAGGTTCTATGGTCGATACCACAGGTACTTGTGGACAGGAACCCCCCCCCCCCCCTCCAATATGCCCCACAAGTCAAAAAATATTTTTATGTATTTTTTTCATAAATTATTCTTCTAGTACACATTTACAATGTATTCCATAAGAAAAATCCAAAAAATAACGCAGAATTAACGTTTTACTAAAAAATCATACCCGCGGTATTATAAAATAGAGAAGGTAAGTCACTTCCATTTGTTTACACTGGACCCTCTTGGATATCAGGCCCGAAATATCATTTACCTAATACATGTCACCGAAATGTGTCATGATATCTTGTTTCGGTAGATATTTTTGTCTTTAATCGTGCTATTTAATTGCCCAGGCATCCCATAATAATCCGAGTATTCATCGTCAAACGTGAAAAATGCTACAAGATTTGGAAATGTCAGAGTAGAAATTACGGAAGTGATGCAAAAACGACACCTAGCGTGTAACTCTCGAGTTCCGAGTGTTATAGAACTAAGGGAAAAGTCAGAGGTGTACGAAAAAGTTCGGGAAAATTTTGATAAAGAAGTCGAAATTGATTCATTAGAATTAAATTCTGCTTAAGATTTTCGAGATGAGCGAGGGTAGTCGTCAATATTCCCTTTAAAGGATGTTATCATTGATACCAAGTAGCGGTTTAAAAATCGCTTAAACATTTATTTACAACTTACAAGACATGTAACCCCCCTTCCCCTTCTACATGGACATGCTTGCAATTAATTCCGATAATATTAAGCTTAATAATTATGTGTATTTTTTAATATTCTTATGCGATGATTATCATTTGCCGAGGAATTAAAATGTGAGTCTTTTCAAAATTAATTCTTAAGAATGAAAATCAGAACCCCATTTTTTTAAAAAAAAATAATTTTCATGCTCTTCTTTACTTTCGCGTCGCACTGCTGATTTTATTTCTGGCCTTGATTACATATATATCAAGCTGCTATTATTTTAATTGAACAAACGGAAGCTTAACTTGTAAAAAATAAAGACTTTTAAAAAAGTTCTTTAGGTACGTCTTTTCTAACAGTCGTAGTTAGATAATTGCAACTTGTATTACGTAGCAATTGACGTTTAAATATTGCATGGGTTGTACAACCATTCATCAACCGGTCAATTTGTTTTTCTCCAACACTGTAACTTGTAATGACGTTGCACAGCCCCCGTCCCCAAATTAATCAATATTGATTAAATACATGTAGCGAATTCATAACAAATGGGGAAAAAAAGAGATTTTTTTGTACAGTTTTAATTAATCACATTTCTGTCTTTACTTATTTTTAAAACTAGTTTATCATTCTAAATATTATATTTACTACCACATTAGTTTAACGGATATCCACCTTTCCGCAGACACAATTTAATGAAAATTCCATGTCCACGCAGATGGGGAAGGCGGTCGAGGTGGAGTGGGGGGGGGGGGTTGTTACATGTCAAGTTTATAATGTTTAAGCGATTTTCAAACCGCTATTTGGTATCAATGATAACATCCTTTAAAGGGAATATTGACGACTACCCTCGCTCATCTCGAAAATCTTAAGCAGAATTTAATTCTAATGAATCAATTTCGACTTCTTTATCAAAATTTTCCCGAACTTTTTCGTACACCTCTGACTTTTCCCTTAGTTCTATAACACTCGGAACTCGAGAGTTACACGCTAGGTGTCGTTTTTGCATCACTTCCGTAATTTCTACTCTGACATTTCCAAATCTTGTAGCATTTTTCACGTTTGACGATGAATACTCGGATTATTATGGGATGCCTGGGCAATTAAATAGCACGATTAAAGACAAAAATATCTACCGAAACAAGATATCATGACACATTTCGGTGACATGTATTAGGTAAATGATATTTCGGGCCTGATATCCAAGAGGGTCCAGTGTAAACAAATGGAAGTGACTTACCTTCTCTATTTTATAATACCGCGGGTATGATTTTTTAGTAAAACGTTAATTCTGCGTTATTTTTTGGATTTTTCTTATGGAATACATTGTAAATGTGTACTAGAAGAATAATTTATGAAAAAAAATATATAAAAATATTTTTTGACTTGTGGGGCATATTGGAGGGGGGGGGGTTCCTGTCCACAATACCGCGGGTATGATTTTTTAGTAAAACGTTAATTCTGCGTTATTTTTTGGATTTTTCTTATGGAATACATTGTAAATGTGTACTAGAAGAATAATTTATGAAAAAAAAAATATAAAAATATTTTTTGACTTGTGGGGCATATTGGAGGGGGGGGGGGGTTTCCTGTCCACAAGTACCTGTGGTCGATACAATGATACAATGACCTTGTCAGCAAATACAATCTATCATTAAGTGAAATGCTGACTGACGTTTTTCATGCTAATTTTTAGACCACTATTTACACACTGAATTTTCCGTTATTTCCCGATCATGACAGTGAGCACAAGGCGGGTGTGATCGGTCGGCATTGGATACTCAATTCTCCATGGTACCTGATCCCACCTCTGACATTTTAGAAGTCCGTGTTTGCTCTGCTCCTGATTTGTATTATTTAATGGACATTTGAACTTGAATATATATATATATATATATATATATATATATATATATATATATATATATATATATATATATATATATATATATATATATATATATAATTATAATTGTATGGTAGTTTTAATACTTCGAGTGATCTGCCCTTAAAATAAGATAGAGAAAATGATAGAGTAAAATGGAAAACAGTTAATGACAAAGATTGTAATGGATTAAAGTATTTTTACATTATATTAGACCAAGATAAAGTATCTGAATACATTATTTATCCCAGTGTAAGTAAACAACAGCGATTTCTGTTCACTAATGCTTCGCCGCTTTTTAACTTTTTTTCCCTGGGGAAATAGGGTACCCTACGATGAAAATGAAGAAGCTAAACTCAAAATATACATCTTTATATGATATAATTTTCTTAATGTCTAGACAGCATTTTTCTTGAAACTTGAAACTTTTATTTTCACTAAAGCCCCCACATGGGGTATGTTAGTACAATAAGAGTTTAACAATTGAACAAATCAACATGTGAACAGTTAACATAATTAACCACAAAAAGAACTTTGATATGGACAGTACTGACGGTTGTATAAAAAAAAATCGTTTAATGTTTACATTGTAGGAAGTTCAGGCATGAAATAATTTAAGAACAGTTTTACAAAACTTAGCTAAACCTATTAGTTCATATATATCAGAAGTATTCATCAAATTATAAAAAGATATTGTGTTTGGATTTGTGTAAATATTGCTAGGTATAAATTTCTGTCTTTCATTCTTAAAAAAAGGGACACTTAAATAAATAATGAAACTCATCACCAAGTTCATTGTTATTGCAGAGGTTACAATGTCTCTCAGATCTATCAATACTATAAAATCTACCAGCTTCAATTGGCAAGTTATGACTGACACAACGAAATTTACATAAATGTAATCTAAGATCATTTGGTAACATGTTTAGATAATTTTCAAAACCAAAATCACACTTGTACATTCTATAATTAAGGCATTTTGGAGAATTTAATACATTTACATTCCAGTCTTGGATAAAACTATTTCTTAATGTATTCTTAACCAACACACCAATTTTGCATGATTTATCAACATACTGAGCATTCCACATTAGATCCAAATTACAATCATGTAAAATATTCTTAATTTCCATGAGCCATTTTGAATGGTAAAAACCTTTTGAGCTAAATTGATACAAAATTGAGTACAATGTGAAGGAAATTTTCTCATTTTTACCACACAAAATCCTTTGCCAGAAACCAGCCATTCTAGACTTTACTAATATACTAAGTAGTATTCTACCCAGCTCTCCATAAACAATACATTGAGGAGTAGTTTTTTTTAACTTTCAATTTTTTTTTTTTTTTTACAAAATTCCATATGAAAGGATTCTAAAATGCTGCAGTTTTCAAAACCCAATACTTCTACACCATACAACAAAATAGGTTTCATTAGTGGTTAGAGCTTCCTTAATATAGAGTTATTTCTCTTGGTGTTGGCTATACATAAAATTCATATTGAA